AAAGAAGAAAACTTGTATCATAAAAAAAAAATCTTTAAATTATAGTTTCTCTTTTCTGGTCCAATTTAAGTTGTTACATGGTTGCTAAATTAGTGCTGTAATCTCTGCTTACAAATTGCAGAATTATTTTTAAAAATAGAAGTAATTTTACTGCAGGGATCAACCTTACACTTTAAACCACATGTGCTGGAGGTAGCTGCTCTTGCACAGCTTTCAAACAACCATACTCACGCGCGTACATGGGGTGAGGTTTACAGTACCAGTTGCAATGAAGCTGATAGCAGTTTTGCCAGAGATTTCAATGAGAACAAATTGAGTTAACACCAACATTTCAGAATGATAGCAAATTTAAGCTTTCTGAGGGTGCACCATGGTACCAAAGGCTGTAGTTGCACCATCTCCTAAAACATCAGCCTTTCTCTTGTGTTCTGGTCTGATCTATCTTCTATAGAACTACAGACTCTGATAGGCCAGAAAGTTAGAAGTTAGTCAAAGAGAGATCTGTCTTGAAGATCTGTTTGTTTTGTTGGTTTTTTTTTTCCTCACAAAACAAATCATCAGAGGGAAAAATATGGAGCACTATGACCCCAAATTTAAATCTGGGGAACAGCAGTGATCACGGCACAATTCTTCCCCCTTTAAGCACTTCCACAGCTTTATTACTATGGAAAGATGAATCTTATCCTGCAAAATCTTTGTGAGTAATCTTTGGGTTCATGTTCTCTGTATCTTCCAGTGTGCAGCAGAAAAAGGAAACCTCAATCCCTGGGTCTCCATAGGGCACTGCAGAGCATACCCACTATCATCCCCCACTCTAGCTAGAGTGTTTCTTTCCTTCAATTGCTCATCATTTGTAGCCCACCACTTCTCCCATCTGCCTTTCATCTGTCCCTGGCTATTTCTGCTTTGCTTGGTTAGCTATTTCTGCTTTCTCATCCCCTTCCCTGTCACACCATGGTCCTACCCTGGGGCCCAGCGGTGGGTCACATCAATTTGGACATGACAGAAGAAACCCTCAGAGGCCAGGATCTTGCTGTTTTCTGCGCTAACTGCTGATACTCGGCACCTATCAGCCCTCAGCTCAGGGAGTTTATCTCCAGCTTCCAACCACCAGACTGCCAGGAAAGGGGATGAAGAATGGAGGAAAATTTCCACATTCCAGAGAAAGTCATCTGGACATCAAAAAACATCCCATTCACAAAACAGCAGCATCACTCTTGCCAGACTGGTGTGTCTGGTTAGCCTTGTGTTCAGTCCTTATGATAATACAGTATTTGGAAAGCAGACAGCTGGCACCGCTTTAACATCTTGCTCTTCAATCTTTTATAACAACAGTTCTACAGATATTATTCTTAACCTTTTCTCTGCACCAAGTCCAGCACTAAAATCTCTTTGGCTACTTAGAGGAAGCAAATCGAATGTTTTTTTGTCAGTAATTTGCCCTGTAAGGGTGGGGAAAAGTATACTGCTAACATACTGCAGACACAGCATTCATCACGTGTACAGCAGTACACTGGTTACACTGGAAACCCTATCATATTCATTTCAGATGTTGCTTGACTGTCGTAATGACTAAGAGACATCTGTATCCTATTAACACTTTATTTTTTACAGTTGCCTTTAATTCATCAGAAGTGTCTTAATGGAGAAGACTGGTACTCTTTTAGAAATAACATCAATAATGAAAGAATCCTTGGATGCAGAGAAAAACCAGCAAACACACTGGCAACAGAACTCACTGCATTCGTAAGTTGTAACAGGAAATGATAGCGACTAGCTTTTGGGTGAGGGGAATTTTGTGTGAAATAAATTAACTCTGGTACTCAAATTCCCATTAGGAAATATGTGTGTGTATATATATACATATATATATATATGAAAATATACATGAAATATATATGTATATTTAAGCAGTGATTGATGTCCTTAAATGTTAATTCAGACTTTTGGAGAATTTCATCTCAGCTGGGTTACTGATAAATAAAACCAGAAACAACCAAAAAAGCCCAAAACAAACCAAACAAACAAACAAAAAAAAAAAACACCAAAAAAAAAAAGCAAACAACCCTTCTGCAAGCTATTTAGGCTTGGTATTGACTAACCAGTAATTAAATACAGCTCTTTGCAGTAATCTTAATTATGGCTTCACTCCACCACAACTAAGAAGAGCCACATAATAAACTGAGAAGATTAGCCAATTCCAACTGTTGAAAAATGTGTATTTTTATTTTTGTGCACAGTTTTTCTGTGCATAAGAACACAAGTCACACAAAGGAATCATAAAAAAAAATAATTAAACCAAAGTATTCATGAATTTACGTATGAATTTATGTCATGACTAGGCAAATACTATAGTTCATTTTCCTTATATAAAGGAAGCAGCTTGGCCTAACAGCTTGCATAATAGGTCAAGAGTTTGGGACTTGGGGAAATGCGGATGTGTGCTAGAAATCAGTGTGAATTAGGTAGACCAGTAAACAAGCTTCATTAAATTACTCAGACTTATACCAGCTGACAATTCTCTTTTCTCAGCTCACCATAGCCATGGATTAGCTGTGCAATCTTGGTCTAATAACACAGGCTCCATCTTTCATGGGAATTCAGGTCCACAGGAATCTGTCTGGTTTCTTTGGTTTCACTGATCTACAGAACTAGGGCTTCAAGTGTCCAAGTCACTTTCTGATAACGGGATTTGAGGAAGCTCAAAGAAAAAATAAAATTCAGAGGCCACAATTCAGAAAAATCCTTACGCACAGGCTCGATTTTAAGCAGGTCGTTAACTCTCATTGACTTCAGCATGACAGCATCACACATCTAAACGCAAAAGTATTCTTATTGTGCCTCAGCAATTTAAGGGCCCCCAATCCATTTGCAAGAAAACTTGCAAGCCTAGTTCAGGCCCTCAGCGTACTTAGGCTCTTATCATCCTACTGAAGCTAATGCAGACCTCATTTCTTCAAAAAATCAATGAGACCTACGCTCTATGACACAAACTCCTCAGGCCTAAAGCCAATAGCATGGCAGATGCCTAGATCCCTTTTAGGGCTGGCTTTCAGCACAGCAGAGATCCTGAGCTTTCTGAAGGGTACTGAGACTTAGGATCCCAGTGCTTGTTTCTTCCACATGTAAGAGTTTAATGTGTGCTTGGGTGGTGGTTTTGTTTTTTTGTTGGGTTTTTTTTCCCTCCCTTTGCTACATGAGACTGCCAGATTCCTGCTCTCTATATCCCCTTCACAGTACCAGCTGTCCAGCTACACATGCATAGCCCCATCAGCATTGCCATCCTTTCCCCTGCATGTGCAGCAGCAGATGGATCCAGACGTGTTTAGGTTAAGTCCATAACCGTAAGTTTTTTTGTGGACTGCATGGATAAACATTTAAAGGCCCCTTCTGTTTATGTAAAAAGAAAGCTATTAAACATTTACTCTTTTCTCTGTACTTAGAGCTGCAAAGCCCTATCACACAATGTACAAACATGTATGCAACCAGGCAATTACCATTCCTTTATCCCTTAAATAGGTAGAAGATAAATTTGAAAGAAAACAAGGAACAGAATCCTTCTCCCTTTCCTTTTTGTATCCTTTTATCTTTCAGTGTAGGAAGTTTACTGAACCCTTGCCAACAATTCACTCAGGCTAATGAAGTGTATAAGTAATGGGATTAAATAATCTTAAACCATTAGTATAGTGGCTAATGCAGATGTTTTCCGAAACTAAAGCAGATGAGTGGTGAAGAATGCGTGCTTGATTTAGAAAAAGAGGAAAAGACACTATCAATCTGCAAGCAGACAAACTCAATTCCAGCCTCAAGTCAGTGAAATGTTAATTCCAGTTATATAAAGTTGCTCCAATCATACTATGAATGAACCTTCATGAAGTCTGCAGTGCTTTGCACGTGGTCCAACTTGCTATGAAATTAACCTTAAATTTTTTAGAGTGAAATCATTTTAGTGAAAACAAAAATGGAACTGGTTTAAAAGGTACATATTCCATCAAAAGATCATTTAGTTTTTAAAAGCCAATTAAAAAAGGCCATGTATCACTGCCATTGTACATATTTCATCAAAGGCTCTGGAGAAACAGAAGGAATAATGGGATACTGGTGGCATTTTCAGACATACCTATTATTGCTTTAGCTACTATCAGAATGACAGAAAAGTCAAGAAAGGCAGTAATTTTTATTTTCAGAAGTGCAAATCCAATTCTGGAACTGTCTCAGGCCCAGTGTTTATAAAAAGAACTGTGAATTGGAGATTTAGAGAGAGAGATATCAACACTTTAAGAATGTTTCAGTGCTTTTCTTATTCTAAGTTACAATTGTTATCCCTATATACTGTATGCTAAGGTCACACCAAGGTAAGGCCTCAGGCATGTTTCTTTAATTTGCAACTCTGTGACTGGTTCCAACTAGCTCTTACTGGAGCCTCTTAAAAGGTGCAGCTCCTCAGAGCAACTGTTAATTGTTCGCTTTAAAAGCTTGTCGGAGGCATGAAATGAAATTTGAGGGTAAGGTAAGCGTGAAAATATATCCAATCCAAAGACCCTTAGTTCAGTAGAAAGACTTCCATCAAACAATGCAGAAGTCTTGATTTTTAGAAGTTTCAATGCTATCTTGCATCTCACCTCCTTAATACTAGTCAGTACCATAGCCTGTAAGCATTTTGTTTTGAGGTTTCTCAATACAGAAAGCTTCTGAAAGCAACACGTATGCTTAAGATCACTATGTAGTCTGTTCCTTATTACAGAGCTCAAATAATTACAAAAAGCACCTTTTCCCCCTGCTTTGGACATTTCTGAGACAGGTTAGACCAGGAAATAAAACTCACCCAGGGAACTGAAAAGATCAGCATTCTTCTGAAGAGCATGGAAAAAGTGATGCCAATGGTACTGCCATGGGATTGTGAGGTTTTAATGATAAGGCAACTGTATGGCAGTAAAAGAAATCAATGTTTCCAATGTCTGTGTGTTAAAATCATGGCGCAAACAAGAATGGATACTTACAATATAGCAGGGCTCACAGTAGGCTTTCTTCTCCACTGCATAGAAAGGCTGACCCCTCAGCTTGCTGTTGCACTTCATGCAGGTGAAGCACTCCACGTGGAAGACCTGGTCCATGGCTGTGCAGCCAGTCCCTTCTCCAACAACATTCTCTCCACAGCGGGCACAGCGGCCTGTCACCAAAGGGAAAGGACATAAGTCAAAACAAGCTCCTGGTCTCAGCTGCAGAGAAGGTACTCCCACATGCCTTTGCCACCCAATTGGTAAGTGGGACAGAGAAGTTCAGTCAACAGAAGAGCAATTTGTACCACTGCTGGCAAAGATCCAGTGCTACTGAAGGTCACTCTGGTGCTGGACCACATGAAAAGATCTAGAAAGGTTTGAAACTGGCTCCCAAGCCTGCACTAATACCAGTTCTACTGCTGCTGATAGCCAGTGATTATCATATGAAGTCTGAGCCTCAAATGCAAACCATTCAGCTATCATCTAACCAAGCTATCTAGTCATCCTCAGCTCCTCAGATGGGATAAACCTGTGCCTAAAGCCTTGCCCCCACATGAAAGGATTTTGTGGTAGGATGCCTCATAAAGCTGCCTGGTGGCAGTGCAATTGTTACCATTTAAATAGTAGTTTTTGCTTGTACAGCTTAAACCAATTCTCTCAATGGAGCTAATTATTTTTTTTTTCTGTTTGAAGACTAATATGGATTAAGATATTTTGCCTATTTAAAGCACAGAAGCTATTTCTCAAGAAACTAATTTGTGGCCACTTTATTCTTATCATCCTTCAAGAAAGGTGTATCAGAAGATACTAGTAAGGACTCTGTAAAGACAAGCCGCAAGATCTCTGCCTGTTTTTGAAAAGGGTCCTTAATGCTGCACACAAATATTTAAGACACAAAAAAATCTGCATGCACACATGACATATAAAAGGCTTGCTGCCTTGTTCAGATTGTTGTTGAAGATATTATATGGCAGATAGATTTAAAGTGAAAACAGGATTTCAGAGAAAGATGGTTTCTTAGATCATGGAAAAGACATTTTCTCAGGGAAGACTGTGGTGCAGACATGATGGAAGACAGTGGGTGGAAGGCACGCCTTTGCCATTTTCCTATGCCATTCATTTGAGTTCTAGGAAATGGAGATAGCCCATACCCAGCAATCAGTGTTGAAAATAATTCATGCACAGAGTCATGGGAGGTATGTAGGACAACCTCAGCCACTCTATGCAGGAGAGCCCTACCAAAGGCAACAGAGCAACCACAGTCTGGGTCTTTGTCCCACTCAAAATGGTATTCTGCAGTCTGAGAATAATTGTGCTGCCCAAAGCCTTGGGACCTGGCACTTCTTTTTCCAGGTTCTGTGAGTGGAGTGGTGTGGTCACTAAGGGTGGGAAGGAGAGGAACAGAAGTGAGAGCTTCCCTCCTGCAAGCAGGAAGGCAGACTGAGTTCAAAGAAAAAATTACTTATAAATGGATATACACATAATAATTAAATAATCCAGCAACAATATGATGCTCTCTCAATATCATGGTGTTTATTGGTTTTGTCAAATACTGCAAAACTTCCTAAAAGGACTTGGATATGTCTCATCATCTCAACAGCAGGGCTGCTGTCCTTGAGCCGTGTACCATTGATGTCCCTCCACTCACGACTTCTTTCCTGCCTGTCCCAGACTCCAATAGGCTACATCCAGGGAACAAAGCGTATAAGCTACTTTTGGATCCCTCAGGATGTGGCAGGATGATATATATATACACATTTGAGATATATTAGGAAAGCTTGGAAAAGAACCCAGATCATTATGATTTGCTAGAACGGCATAACGGTAGTTGGCATTATACAGGACAGACAGTTCCTGACTCAAACAGTTCACAGTCTGAGCAATGTGAAGAGAGAAATCACTAGATAAATCCACATGAGCCTCGAAACCCCCCAAAAGGAATGAATAATAGTGTATTTAAACTCAACTTTCTTTAGCATTTGTTATTAGCGTTGTGATTGACAATGTTGCTCTTTAATAACTCCACTGAAACACTTCTTGTGAAGAGTCTTTTTTTACGAGTAGAGAAGGAATGCAGGGTTCCCAGGATGGTGGTGAGGCTACAGAGCATGGGGGAAGAATGGAAAAAAACATGAGGATTAGGAAGAAAACAACCAACCCACTGGAGAGAACCAGTAAGAGAGCAGTACTGCTTTGGGAAGGAGTGAGAAGAAACCTACTGTAGACTATACTGCATGTACAACAGGAGAGTGCTGATCAGCCCTGTGTGTGGACAAGACAGAGCGTGCTCCAGGGCCTTCTCCAAACTGCTCATGTAGCTGGGCTGTAACATGAAGAGATGTCTGGGGAGCAGTTAATATCTCTATATATAAAACGTGAAATTGAAAGCCATTAGTGTATTACTTTACACAGTGTTTTTCCAGAGGGAATATTCCACTGAAGAATTTATTTTCCCTGGTGTGCTATTCTGTGATCATCCGGTATTATTTTTATGAGGCATTTGGACACAGAATAATGTAGTGTCTATGCAAACACTTCTCAGCTTTCTTTGTTAACATGTGAGAAGAACATGTGGAAATCTTTTCTTCCCCTCCTCCTCTTCTCACATTCATAATTTAGCCAGCTTTGTATACTTCAACATTTATCTTCCTCTTTGACCAAGGCACCTCTCAATTTTTCTGGAGAAGCTGTCTGTGTGTAGACTGTATTTCTGGCTGTACTTGTGTCAGGAGACCTGGGTCTGTTTCTGAACTCAAATACACTCTTGTAATCTCTGGCAAATCACTTGGGACCTTTGTAACTCCACCCTCCCTTTGAACAAAGACTTCTCTGCCTTCCAAAGATGCCCTCAGGGTACATTCCTGCATGGCCTTGAGGTCAACTACACTGCTGGTGGCCAGGTACAAGCCAAAAAGCAGCACAATGGAAGTCCTGGCCAACTTCTCCCACTGAAGGTGGTATTTCCTTAGGCTTCCCTTCCTCTTTCTGGGTTTTTCCACAGAAGGTTCCCATTTAGGCAGCAATAGACAACCTCTGTATATTTATGAGAAGTCCAAATTCTGCTGTTATGTACACTGACAGAAATGCTCCTATAAACTCTTGCACAGGAAAGCTTAAATAAAGTTTCCTTTCTGTATATTTATATGCAAATTATAACACTGTGGCCTTGAGCAAACTATGTTTTTCATCAGACACGGCCATTCCAGTGAAGATGGAAACACAAACTCTCTGCCGAGCAACACCCCCAACTGACTCACTCGCCTGAAGGGTAAAAGCAAGTAAGCCAAAATATGGAAATTTGGAAGCTTACAACTGCAAGCCACTGTAGACGTCTCTATCCATGCAAAGGCAAGTGGGCAAATACACAACCGATCTGACTTACAATGATGCAGCCCTTAAAGGCTCCACCTTCTGCAGACCTTGGTGCAATCTGGGGACTCACAAAACTGTGAAAGCTGGTCACTTCTCCCAGCACGTCACTCAAATTTGGTTGAAACAGTCAATTATCAAGAGTTGTTGGTGAGGAAGGAACTGACGAGCAGACAGGCACATGAACAAAGCAGTGCAATTGCAGAAGCCTCATTTCCTTAGAAAACCAGAAAAAAAAACCCACTAAAAACAATGTATCTATCATTATGTCTGATAAAAACAAAACAAAGGTTTGCTTTTCCTGTGTGCCAGTTACCAACAGTGAAGGTATTTGTGGCTGGTCTCACCACAATTAAGTGCCCACACATGTTCCCCATTTTAATATTTTCACACTAGTTGAAAAAACCCAGTTTGTTGTGTGCAGAATACCCATAAGTGAATACAGAACAAGTTGCACTGCTTATTGGGAAAGAAGTAGCAAAGGCAAAGCTTGCAAGACTCAAGAACAAACAGATTGCACAAAAAAGATTACACCAATAATCTAAGAGAAAAATAGGCAGCGTATTACAGTAGAAACGTAGAACAACATGACCCATTTGCTTCCCACAGAGACAAGTAGCACTTAAAAGGCAGCTTAAAGACAAAAGAAAAAATTAGGACTAAAATGCAAGAAGATGAAACGATGTCATTTCAACATTCTTCTTTTGCCCCTTCAGATCTTTTTAGGGCCTTTTTCAAGATCACTTCAACAAAACTAGAAGGTGATACACTGGCAGGATGCCTGGGAGATCGAATCCTCTATTTTTGTATGGAAGAGGTTCATAACCTTGGCTGTGACCTTCCTTCAGCCTAGCCTGTCTGCCACATGTTGGTCTTACCTTGGGGGGACTTACAGGGGTGCCCACAGAGGCTTCCCTGCTAAAACTGATGGAAATGTCATCATTACTGAGTGGATCACAAGGAAACACTTCAGCAGCCGAAAGGAAACATCAGCTACTATACTTCGTTCTGAAACCTCATTTACTGTCTTCTGTTGTATAAAAAATTGAAATATTGCAAATCTGAAGGAAGAGGGGGAAGGAAGGAGAGGAGCTCATATCGCACATGATGCCACATTCTAACTTTTCATTATTTTTTTATTATTATTATTATTATTACATGGTATTTGCTTATACCATCACAGATCCTGGTTGGTCAGATTGCACAACAGCCCTGTTGTGCTGGGTATTGGAATTCACACAGAATTCAAAGAAGGGCCTGACTGCAGAAGCTCACAATCTAATACAAGCAATAACTGTGTGTAGATAGGAAATACAAAGAAGCAATCAAACAAAACCAGTCAAAAAGGAAAATTGTGGTCTCAGCACTCTAAATGTTTTATTATTGACAACAAGGCTGTAGACAGACCAGCAAAGGAAACAGTTAAGGAAGAATTTGAAAGAGGATCCAGAGGGAGTTTGAGGGAAGTTTAACGGGATGCTTCTCAGGAAAGCACAAAGACAGCACAAATGGGAATGCAAGTGCTTGAAGATTGAACATAGACACCTGCAGACAGGAAGGATGAGTTGCTATGTCACTAGAGAATACTAGAGGAAAAAAGGATGGGAATAGGTCATTACCGGCCATGCAAGTAAAGAAAGATGCCTCTGTTTAGTATGATGCAGAAATGAAACCAGAAGAGAGATTAAGAGACAGGAATGATCTGAACTTAGTTACAAGCTAGAGAGTGATTTCTGCAGCTGCATTCTAGCTGAGCATGAACAGGGAGAAACTGCTTTTTTACAAAAGGATGTTGCAGAGA